AACTACCCGTGATCCAAAACCTAAGGATCCCACGTTACATCTTTACCTCAACTCATAAGCTTGCAGAACTTCATGGTTTCAGCGATGCTTCGGAGAAAGGATATGCTGCAGTAGTCTACCTCCGTGTGATCAACTTATCGAATGATGTTAAAATTAATCTGATAATGGCCAAATCTAAAGTCGCCCCACTAAAAAGAGTATCTCTGCCTCGTCTCGAACTGTGCGGTGCTCACCTACTTGGAAAGCTCCTGCAATACTGTTCAAATCTTCTTTCGTCCCACATTAAGATTGACTCGATGTATGCATGGTGTGACTCTACCATTGTTCTTACATGGATACGCACTCACCCCTATCGCTTAAAAGTTTATGTGGCCAACCGTGTCTCAGAACTACAAGAATTAATCTCTCCTGAATCATGGCATTACGTCAAGTCCCTAGACAACCCAGCAGATTGTGCAACCCGAGGACTCTCCCCATCTCAACTCTTAAGCCACCAATTGTGGTGGAAGGGACCTGAATGGTTATACTTGTCATCAGATCTTTGGCCAAAGCCCGAATTCAGTTTAATCACTGATCAAGACACTCTTGAAGTCAAACCAAATCCCTTGAATGTCCTAGTTAACGTTGATAAGTTAGAAAATTACAGATTTGATTTACTTGAAAAATTCTCATGCTTTAGAAAACTTGTAAATGTCACTGCTTATGTTCTACGATTCATCCATAATATTTGTGGGAACGCCCGACTAGCTGGACAACTTAGTTATAAAGAGATCTCTTCTGCTAAAATGAATCTCTTCAAACTCATTCAAATTTCATCTTTCAAGGATGACATCACAGCTCTGAAAAAGGGCACTCAGTGCAGCTTAAGACTGGCTCGGTTATCACCTTACATTGACGATAACGGTTTGGTAAGAGTAGGCGGTAGGTTGAAACATTCAAACCTTACTCAAGATGCCCAATACCCAATCCTGTTACCTAAATCTCATTATGTTGTAAAACTGTTGGTCATGCACTATCATCTCAAATATTTACACGCAGGCCCTCAGTTGCTGCAATCGATCCTCACTCAAGAAGTATGGATTTTATGGAAGTATGGATCCCGTTTTAATTATCTGCTCGTAGTGTAATCAGATCTGTAATCTTTAAATGTCAAAGATGTTTTAAGTTGAAACCTACAAATCAACCTCCACTTATGGGAGACTTACCCGAAACTCGACTACGGCCTGTAAGACCATTCTATCATACTGGCATGGATTATAGCGGTCACTTTGAAGTGAAAGTACACACCACTAGGAATTCTCAAAAGCTTAAGTCATACCTCTGCCTATTTGTTTGCTTTACCACAAAAGCGGTGCACTTGGAAGTTGTAACTGATCTCTCAGTGGACTCATTCATTGCTGCTCTTAAAAGATTTGTTTCTCGTCGTGGACTTTGTGCTCACCTATACTCTGATTGTGGAACGAACTATGTCGGTGCCTCCAAGCAACTGAATAAGACCTTCCAGAATTTCATTGATGAAAGGAATACTCAAGATGCTCTCACTAACTTCGCCCTCGATCATTCAATTAATTTTCATTTCCAACCACCAGCCGCGCCTCACCAAGGAGGCCTTTGGGAGAGTGCCATAAAGAGCTTAAAGTACCATCTCAAGAGAGTAATTGGAGATCAAATTCTAACACTAATGGAGCTGATAACTCTTGTCACGCAGGTGGAAGCAGTATTGAACTCTCGTCCACTGACAGCTCTATCAGCAGATCCATCTGACATCACAGCACTCACCCCAGGTCATTTTCTCATCGGGACATCTCTTGTTGCAGTACCTGAAGTAAATGTATCCGATATTCCTGACAATCGACTAAAGCATTGGCAAACAGTTCAGGCTCTACATCAACGCTTCTGGAGAAGGTGGCACCAAGAGTATTTGCACCAGCTTCAACAAAGGAAAAAGTGGATAAAGCCAAACAAGAATCTTGAAGTAGGCGATTTAGTCATTATCCATGACCCAAAAACACCACCACTTCTCTGGCCTCTTGGTCGCATTGTGAAGACATCACCTGGAGCAGATGGCATCGTTCGAGTTGTCTCCATCAAGACTTCGAGAGGAATCTTCTGTCGCCCTGCTACCAAGGTGTACCCGCTACCCTAATCACAAAATATTTCTATTCAATGTCCTATTTCATGTTTATATTTATAATTGTCATATATATCATATATATTATAATTAGGTGTGTCATCATTATCTATTCTGTATATATATCTACATTGTATTACTTGTGCCCATTTATGAGTCAATGAATCAATTTATGAATCTCTGTTGAACCATGTATGGTTCAAGGCGGGCGGCATGTTCCGTATTCAAGCATCTACGCAACCTAGGTGAATCCAGACTTCATTCATATTTTGTTCTGACCCTTGCCCTGTCACGTGATGTCTGGCAATTTCCCCCATTCCCCATGTACTCTTCAACCCGGCATCATGTTCTCGCCATTTTCCCTAGTTTTTTATTATAATATTCCCTTACTCTATTTGTGGCATATAAATTGAACTTATATATTATCGTATGTTTATCTTATGTATTTATTTGTGACGCACCTAACAAAAAAGTGAACTGAATAGTTAAAAACTGTATTCAAACTGTTCTTGGTGCAACTACCGGTCGCGTACGCGAAAGCTGGCCAGCAAACATCAAGTGCGTCAACGTCAACGGTCTACTAGACATCACTTCAGTAAAAAGGAAGGTACCAAATCACATTTCTTCCTATTTAAAAGTTTATTATTTTGTGCTCACAGTGTGTCTCTAAAACTGATCTTAACATAATATATCTCACATCCCTCATTTTTTATACAGTCCACCATATCGAAGTTTACCCCCCACCTATATCTTGATTCCGTATAACATAATCATGAAAAGCTGTTGGCAAGCTATGCTAATAGTATATTTCATCACTAGGGCCTAAAGTGTCTCTTTTTACCCCAGGTCGAAAAATGAGTGAGGAATAAAAAGTCACTTTTTGCAAGTGTGGTAAACTATATTATTCGTTATAGTATAATCATTAATTAACAAAAACAAAGCTAGAAAACGAAATAATTTTATGCAAGGATAGCCTCTCAAAACGACTTCAAATTCTGTCGTTTTTCAATTATGCTAATGCAAATAAGCAGCTTTTTAGTAAGTGATTCAATTAGTTTATCTATTACGATTGTGTTAATACCACCAATATGTCAAGCCATCGACAAAAATGGGCTAAAACCTTATCTAATAAATCAAGCGATAAATAATATCAATCGATAAGATTGTCACAATCGAAATTTAAAACTTTTTACAACAGCGGACTTTGACTCCCAAGAGAGTACAAATGCTACTTTAGACCCGCAACGAATGCATTGAAAACGGCTGTTTTTGCTGCAGTGACGAAAATTCGTTTTTTGTGGTTGTCCATAGAGTAGGCTCAGTATAGATTATGAAAAAAACTACTCGGATAAAAAAGCATTATTAATCGACAAATCCAAAAACTTAATATTTTTTATCACTTTATTTAGTGACATAACTTTAAAAATACATTTACTTCTCCGGTTGCTATTTTCAAATCGCTTGTAACTGTCATTTACATGTTATATTTGGTACTCCACCAACACAATAATAACAAATTCATAATTAACTTCATACTCAAAATTTATATACATTTTAATATGTTTATAATGTAAAGGAAATGTATGAAATGTTAAAACTAACCAGTTTACAAGATGATAATTACGAAAAAAATGTGATAAAGATCACATAGTATTTTTTTATCAGGATTGTTTTCTTCCGGAAAATCAGTAAACGAAATGTTTGAACATCATAACAATCATTGCTTATTATTCTCTAGTTGATTTTTCAATACGCTAGACAGAAAAACTTCTTAAGCCCAAAAACACGTGAACAGAAAGAAGTAGTTTTTTTATGTAATACGATGACAAGTTTGAAAAATCAATACTAATGCTGCAATAAACTGGAGAATTTGTATTTGCTATTTGACTATATAATGATTTAATTGTTTTTTATTGAGTTTGTCGTCACAACGGTGTCCATTTGACAGTCGGGGCTAATGCAAGAACCATATTGCTACTACAATACCACGGATCCTTGCTTTAATTAGTTTTGATCTCTGCTAGTTGATGTTTATTTAGGTAAAACAATTAGAGCTTTGTTTGCGTATCATCAAAAGCAATCGTTTATAATTTTTACAAAAAACTACCAAATATTTGAGTATTAGTTAAGATAATAATCAATTATTATCTTAGATAACATTTATTGATTGTGCTACTGTCTAAAAAAATTTTCTTTTTTAATAACTCCAGATAGTAACAGTTTTATGTTTTAGATTTTGGTTGTACAAATAGACGCTAAGCTCCTCCAACGGTTTCAAGGTTAAATAAAAAACTTATGTTGAATTAGAGTTGTCTTAAAGTGATTTGATTTGGAAAATAAATACAGTATTGTTTAAAGTCATTATGTTTTACAATACATGAGTAAAGAGGGAACGGGCATGCCAGAGGGTGTTAATTCAATAATAAATGCATCACTACGTGTTATGTTTTAATTAGATGTTTTATTATCATGTCAATTTTTATTACAGCAGGTAAGCAGAAAGAATAATTGTTATCCCAGAGCATTTACCTCTCAAGCAATATATTTATCATTTTTGCTATTAAACTGTAAACGTTTTTACATTACACTAATTACATGTTTTTTTACAATTATGAACATCCGTGCATTTAATATCTACCTTAAACATTTCATTGTATATACATTCCTAAATGATTAAAACCCTAATACTATCAAAAATACTTATTAACCAAAGTAGGGTAACAAAATAATTTACGATCACTCTCAAACACACCATAAACTCGGATAATAGTTTCCACAAGCATTAATCCTTATATATCTATTATTGAAAATCTTTGTCAACCGTATTTTGAAAAGGACAACTGATAAAAAAATCCACATTAAAGGGATGCCTTTGCAATAATTGCACAACTGTGTTAGAAAACATCATTTTTATTTACGTCCTCATCAAGTTTACTTATATGTAACTCAAAGCTAGGATCGTCAATCCAATTCGTTATGTACCGCACGTCGACTTCCTCACACCACATTTTGCTGGCAACAGCAAAGTCCATTAGGTTTGTGGCTTTTATGTACATGTCCCTTTGCAACGGATAGCTGTCTGGCCAAAAACATTACAGGTTGAATGATTTCTTTGTGGATATTAAAATGTATTCTGTAAAAACTAGTGGTCAAGCTTTATCAAACATTCTGGCAAACACTTTTGCAAGTATACCATTGTCCACCCAGGGGTCCTCTTCAGTAAGCTCAAAATCACAGTTTCCAGCATTAATTATTTTTAACTCCATGCCATAATCTAACAGTTTGTACATAATTTTATCCATTAGTTTTCGCACTGGATCGAGTACTGAAATGAAAAACGTTTAGGAAGTATTTTAAATTAGGGTATTTGCCTAGTTTGCAAGATATATGCTCTAGGTTAACAATACTTAGTTAAAACTGTATGGTCAATTCATCTTAAAATATTGCTAAGTTTTCGGTGGTTAACGTTTTGTATATTGGAACTGTATTTGTTCAGATTTTTGTATTCGTTTAATTCAACTGTATTTTTAAAACTAACATCTAACATAATTAGTGTATTAGCAATGATTAAAGGTTTTTAACATTTCACAGAAATGTTGTACCAATTACGTCATAACGTTTAACATTAAAAAGGATTGTTAGCCTTGACGTTTTAGTTTTTACATAAATCCTTCCCCAAATGTGTATTTACTCAGAAAGCTTTACAGCGTTTTTAATGAGTTACACTTACTTACAAAATACACATGTAACATAAGAACATATTTTAAGGATGAATATTATTTTGTTGTATTGTTAATTAGTACTTTTATTTTACTTATCACTTTTGTTGGTGAATCTTTACAGAATACAACAGTTCAAAATCTAAATGAAATGCAAAAAAAAGTGCTTTTATTATTTAGTTTAATTAAGCTGATATTGCCAATAGTAACACAATTAAACAACTATCAACCAGTTTAGAAATGGCGGTTATATCCAATTAGTTAAAGAAAGATTATATACCAAAGTGTCACTGCCCATGTGTACACAATTGAATTGAGGATTATTTTATTTTTCAGTAAGGCTACACAAAAATACAATTTATTCTGGCTTATCTGTCACATCTACGATTGGAAACTTATGATTAGGATCTTCTAACTCGAACCCCTCATTGCAAACAAAGGGATACATTTCTGCCATTCTAACTTCAAAATCCACTATATTATTTAAAATTCCATAATCGATGATAGCCATAGTGGACCTTACTTGCCATCTGTATATTTCATCCGTAGCTGAAAAAGAGCTTTGTGTTTAACATGTAGTTTAAATAAAATTATTTTGCAAATTTAATTTATTCATTACATATTTTAATCGCACATTTATTTTTGGGTGTAGTGAACTCATTTAGGATTATGGTTACACTAAGTTTGGAAATACAAAGTGTTACAAACACTTATGAACCAAAAAGTGCCTTTGAGTATAAAGTGTAATCAACCATAGTTAACTCTGTGTATATTGTCCTCATAGTGAACATGATTCACTACCAAAACAATATCTAACTAACTAAAGTTATATGTATTCGCTTTTGCCTTCCAAACCATTGGTTGAAGATAATTCTATTGCAATATTTATACTTACCATACAAATCATTGTTGAATGTTTTAAATTTAAAATATTATTAAAATCTTAAAAAATATCACTTTACAAGAAAGGTTTTATTCTTGCTTTAATGTTAGTTTGTCAAGGAATCGTATTTAACTGATCGTAAAATCAAATAAATAAGTTGCTTATTTTTTACCTTTTATAAATCCTGTTTTTATAGATAAAAATACTAACAATAAAAATAGATTTAGTATGTGTGATATTACTTAACAACTAACCTTCTTAAATTGTTGCTTTACAAACAAAATTTAATCTAGTATCTGGTATATGAAATCCGGTAGGAGAAAAGGTTTTTTTTACATTTAATAGCCATGTTTGAAGCTTTGTTCCAAAGTCTATACGTACTATTAATGTTAATGTGGTACCCCCTGTTAATTGTATCTTTTGTTAGGCGTAAGACTCATTCAAAAGATAAAATCGGAAAAAATGTAGATATTAAGAATACGTTAGTGGCTGCAGGTTCTTTTAAAACAATCTTACCTACAGTGGTTGTAAACTTGACACTTAAAAGTGAAAATTGCTAAAATCAAGTTAATTTTTAAGTATGTAAAATTAATATACAATAAATTACAACACAGTTTATCTCATTATTATATATTAAACAAAATTCTTCAGGCTACCTTATTAATTGATATAAGAGCTTATTATTACCTGGATAGTCTCCAATGTGAGCTATGACTAAAGCCGCATCCTTGAACTCAGGACGTTCAACAGGGGTTGGTGCCACTTTATACCATCCTCTTCCTTCATACACCTTAGCATCGGGGGTGATTATGAAACTGATAGTAAGACAGTTAGTTATATGTTGTCGAAGAAAATATTTTAAACCACTAATCTATGTATCTTTATCAACTTTCATGTAAACATGATCAACAATATTGCATTGGCAAGACTTCGATCTTCGAACTCTTTACGAGTTCGAATGACAGGCCATCATTTTGATGTGGTACATGAAGACAAAAAAAACATATCTATAATCCCGCCGCTTACAACCAAAATTTAGTGGACTGCTATAACCTTAAAGCTTTTTTACAAAGTATATTAGCATCAACACCCTAGATGCAAATCTGGGTTTTAAGAAATTGTTAATTGGCACACTAGCTGGTACTTAAAACAAAGTTCCCTTCTGGTTTAAATGACATAAAATACATATAGTTTATTTGTTCCAACATTATGAGACTAACAAATTTGATTCTGATGTCAATAATAATAACTATGCTGCAAAAACAAAACTATTATTGCTTGATTACTCGCTACATCTATCTAAAATAGGAATGATTATGTTAAGAAATAAAACTAAAATGTATGTGTATTTCTACATACACCTTTAATTATCATTTTCTACGTTGCTAACATTTATCTAACTAATATGAATGACTTTAACCTACACTTTTATTTTTTATGTTTTTAATATTCTTTACATGTATGAAAGATTGTTCAGCCAATTTAAATGGAAAAATTTACCATCGAATTAAGCTTTAAAACTTACTTGTAAGCGATGTCCTCAAATCCTTTTCCCATGTGAAATGCCTGCATCTTCCTTATGTGAAATTTGCATTCTTCGTCATTATTGCAAGGTAGTGTCCTTGTTTTAGTCATCAGCACTTTAAGGACAGGTTTAGGAAGGTCAGCGATTTCCTTTTGAGGGGGTAAAGCACCCCAATCACTTCTTGGTACAATAGTTAATGGAGGCATAATATTTAAATTACTCTAATGTATTTCTAATTACGAAATATTTAAAATAGTAATTAAAACTAATTCACGACATCCAAACATATATTTTATGTTGTCAGAGGTTTTAATTTACAAACTGGCACTACTTGTCATCTGAAAAATCAAAGACACCAAAATTATTTAGTCTCACGTACCAACTATAAATGAAACATAAAAACAAAGAAGTATAACAAATGTTGTCTTCTTTAGAGAAGAAATTACTCAACATTCCCATTTTGATGTTTGTTTACAAACTATTCTTTATATTACTTATCGTTTTTCTGATTTGTGGAAAAACGCTATCATTTATTTGTTTGATAAGATAAAATACTAAATTTATCGTCTCATTTTGACTGATATAATTATATTCGGAGTAAACCATGTGTTGTTTTACAATATTGTTTTAAATATAGGTCGTAGGTCGAACTATACTTACAGGCAGCTGAAATAACTATTTCCTGTCGTTAAATAAGTAGAATTATTCATAAATATTAGATTTTATTAATGCTAGATACAATTGTATCTACCATTGTAATAACGGACATAATTTGTTTATTGTTTTACCTAGTAAATTATTAGGTTACTAATCTAAAATCCATATTTTTCAAAAAATCTATCTTAAAAATGTATTCATAAATTTTCGATAAACTACACAATAGCATATACCCATTGCGTTTCAAAAATACGAAAAAATGATAGCAGGTAAAACTAATGTTTAAGTAACATTGAAAACATTAATTGATAAAATATTTATGATTAATACCATGATAAAAAATGAAAATTAACTTCTTGATTTGTTTCCTACAAGGTTACTTGATTGGTATACAAGTCTTGGAAATAATAATATATCAAGTAACAATAAAAATGGATTACATTACTGAAACTCTATAAAACCTAGGTCGTGGTGAGACCGTAAAATTTGGCAAACATTAGATTGTTTGGTAGTTGACTAACTATACCTTTAGGTGTAAGGATAAACATAACTACTAACTACCTTGCTTTTTGTCAGAGCCATTTTGTCCCTTGGAAAATAAGGAAGTTAAAACACGATGGTTTGGGAGAAGTGGTTGACAAAAATGGATATGAGCATTGTGGTAGTTTTTTTTTTAATATTGCGTACACTTTTTATACCAAAGGGAATTTTTTTAAATACTGACAAGAAGCTGAGCTTTTTTATTTCATGTATCTGAAATTTAAATAAAGTATTTAAAACCGGATTAGTATTTAATATAATACAGATTCATGATTACTGTTTGAATTTTATTTTATATAATTATGCTTTTTAAATTGGTTTATTGATTACAAACAGTTACATTTTTGTAACGAAATGCAATTTTAGCTTTAGGGTCGCAATTATATATAATGTAATCCATAATTGGCCTATTAATAATAGGTTAATTTAAACAAACAATAGTCCAATTATTGAGTGAAACGTCCAACCAAAAACTACGATCTTTTCAAAGTTAAGCAGTCGTTTCGCATCGGTTGGGGTTAACACCTAATTTGAATGTAAATTCCTTCCTCAAATGCCTGCTAATCAGCGAGAATCTAGTGTTTGTTGATTGTAATTTAAGGGGTTAGGCAACGAATTGGGTAATTCAATTTGCATAATGATTCAATTTGGATAATTAGTTCAATCTCATTACTGTTTTTTTTACAAAAAGGCCCTTATCCTTTAATCCTTTTTGTGTTTTACTATTTTTATAGTATTTTACTGTGCTCAAAAGGTGTGGAGAATATTTTAAACTTTTGTTGTACGGCTATTTTAGGTTGATAATCAAGTATATTTGACCTTTAAAAGTATGAAATGAACTATAAAGATGTTGGGTACGTCTATCATAGTTTTGTTATCTTTCCCATGACTTAATTTTTATGATACTAATTGTTAAATCACATACTGGACAATACTGATAATGTTGTTTCAACAAAGAAATATTGTATTTGGAGAAATAATTCTACAATTATCTTTTGAAAGTGAATACCGGAAAATTCGTCGAGAAAATACCCTCCAATAACCCCTGCAGACTAAGCCAGTTGCTATTTCCTGATTATCACTAAAAAGCTTTACTAAACATGTAAAATTAGGTGCTATTAAAAAAGAATTAGGTTTATTAATGAGCACATAGATTCGCTGCTACAAAGGAATATATTTTTCAGTAAAACGTAAATTGTGTAGTTGAAATATAAATAATAGAAATATACCCATGAACAAGCAAACTACATTTATTTGACCATTTAATGAAATTAGTTTTCTTTCTGAACTTCTCATAATGGCAAAGAAATAAACCGCAAAATTTTCTGTTTTAAGGGGGGGGGGGGGTTTAAGATAAACCAATGGATAAACCCTACATGAAAATAAGTCCTAATTATTGAAGGTATTTTAAAAGCAGTTCGTGAATGGAAACAAACAAGTAACAAGTAACAATGAACAATGAATCTTGAAACATTCTCTTGAACCACTAGGGAGTCTCAATTTCGTGTTACAAAACATAAGTGATATATCTAAAACCTACTAAAACCGTAACTAAAACCTGACTTATATCCTCAAAATATCTAAAACGTTAGGTTGTTGCTAGCAACTACCAAATTAGTTATAACCAAAAATACCTCCTACATTTAAGAATGTACAAAAAGACACTATTACTACACATGGATATTCGAAGGTAGCAACAAATGTGTTTTATTCCAACGTAATTAACCAGACTAGCCTGCAAGGAACGTAAAACCCCGGGATCGTTAAAAGAACGTCCCTACCTCAGGAAAACGCTTCTTGCATTTTAATGCTGGTTTTAACTGTCCACGTTTGACAATTTTAGTTTCCACATGGTTAAATTACGTATCATTGTATTTGTATTATTATATTCTTATTTCTACATTCTTTATGCCTTATAGGTAATACAAAATGTGTAAAAAGTAAATTCGAGTAAACTTACAACTCTTTATATTACACTGGATTTATTGTTTAACAAAGTAAACTAAAGGACACATTTTCGCAATTTGCAAAAACAATTTTTAATATTGAAAACGACTTTATATTTAGCCTGCAGAAAATGACTTTAAATGGTTAAATTTTTTGTTTCATATTTAAGACATAACTAACAAATTTTGTTGAGCTATTATTGCTATAATTAGCAATAACTTGCGTTTTATTTCTATAGAAAAAAAAATAACTGGGTTCTTAAACAATACTGCCAACATACCGAGCAATAAACATTTTTTTACTGTGGATTAGACTATGCGGCGAAATCAAATTCTCACAAATATAAAATACTAATTTGCGTAACTAGAAATGATTTAATTTAACAACAAATTCATTCGACGTAATACATTTTGTACTATCTTGAGCTCCAACATCAAAAAGTGAGATTAAAATCAATAACTCACAACCCTTAATGGCTTGCCAGTAGTCTAAAATCACACCAATTACATAAAATAATGAAATTGTATTCTGTTTGAAAGTCATTCGTTTTAAGATAACCATGGTAATTATTTTTAATTTATTGTAATTGTTGTATCACACGTTTTCTTTACCTTACCTCCTTGGCCTCTGAAACCTAAGAAGGTTGTTTGCCTCGCCAACAATGACTCTTCAGTGCTCTCTATCTTCAGCTTCCTTGGGGGTAATTACTAATACTACTAGGTCTCTCAGCACCATCGAAGCCTAGCCCTGCCGAGTGGTCTCCTGCCTTCTGGGTTATACTGGTCTTCAGTTCTGATTACAAACTTATCTTACCCTCTCCATAGATTGTCTGTCCATCATTTTCTTATACTTTAATCTAGCAACGATATTGTATTAATATATGTCGCTTAGTTTTCAGTTCTTTCGGATTCTCTAAATCTTGTACCGGTCCAAATATAATTTTCAGTATCTTATTTTCCAAGACAGTAGCTTATTCACACTGTCTTGTTAGTGCCCAATTCTCAGATCCATAGAAGTTTTGACTTAAGATTTTAGTCACGTTTCCTTTGATATAGTACATTTTTACATTATAGTACATTTCTTTTATAGAGCCTAAACATATTAATTACGTCTTAACACATATAGGCTACAAGTTAAGTCACGCTTTCATTTTTTACGTCCAGCTAAATACATTAAGCATTTGCATAGATTACCTAAAAGTCCATTTTGGTTTAATGAATTATATGTCTTCAACAAAGCAATAAAGTTTGCCTGAGACAAAGACTTTTACGATGTCTCCATTGTTTATGTCCCTCTCAGCTGGTTTAGGCTTATTTGAAACTAACTAGGCTTAAAGGTAATTAAAAATATTACTTTGTGTTACTTATTTGCGTACTTGTTTAATTTTTGTCACCAAAATTCCCTTTACATTTCCATTTAAACCTTCATCATAAAAATTCATGGAAGAAAACCAGGAAAATTAACATGCATAGATTTTCTTTGTAGTAATAAGATAATGGATACAAATTGTAATTATTATTAAGTTCACAACTGTTGTTGATCAGAATGACCAACAAGTTAAATCCCTAAAAAATAGCTAAACAATAACATTTAAAGCTGAGCCTACATATATAAGCAGGGATCTATTGTTTCCTCGTCCCCAGACGTGATCAATATCAGGGATTATGCAATGTAAATATTAAATCCTATGAAATAACAGTATAGTTGCTAAAAAATAACAGGTAGTTAACGTACCTGACTATCACTTAATAAAAGTGGCTCGGATCCATACTACGTTAAAAGTTTACCAATTTTGTTCTAGATATAAAAATAAATATAAAAACAAAACATATATAAAAAAAAACTATTACTGAAGCCTGGTTAAAATATTTGCGAGAAATCGGATTTTAATTTTTAGCAAAATATTTAGTTAGTACCTAATTGGAAAACTATTGTTTTATTTGTTTCGTTATGTTGTGCCTTTACATTCTAAGGTTTAGGCTTTAGCTCAAAATCGTTTCATATGTTACCCAGAGCAATGTAAATAGGGTTAGAGGCTCTCGCATCTGAATACATATTGTAATAAGGCAGATTAATGTGAAATCGGTGATTTGAGGGGATTTTTACCCGAAACCATTGGGAGTGAAGCTTGCACTTTATTCATTGCTTACACTCCTGATATACGGATCTGTGTACACAAAAGTAAGTTTCCATACAATAAACAGTAAACTTATCCCGAACTAATTATCAACATATAATCTTATTATACATATGAAACGCTATATTTCTCTTCTATATATCGATAAAATTCACAAACATGAAATTAATG